TGCTATGGCTGATTTCTCTGGTTGGAGTAGTCTGCAGTGCCTTTCATGTTCCTGGATTCTTGTTTGGGCATTGCTGCGTTTAGTGGTCCCTATGTAGACTTGTCCACAGCTGCATGGTACACGGTAGACTCCTGCCGAGGTGAGAGGATCCCTTTTGTCCTTTGCTGAAGGTAGCATTTGAACTGAACTGAAGATGAACTGAACCACCTCAACTGGGCTCTACAGGCCAATGGATATTCCACCTCAGACATCAGAAGAGCTGCAAGACCAAGAACAAGCCACGAGAGTAAAGATGAAGATCCACCCAGAGGAAAAGTGTTCCTGCCATACATCAAGGGAACCACTGACCGCATAGGGAAACTGATGAGGAAACACAACATACAAACAATCTACAAACCCACCAAGAAAATCCAACAAATGCTACCTTCAGCAAAGGACAATGTCCTTGCAGGCGGTCAATTCTCTCACATCAGAAGCGACTTGCAACTTCTCAAGTCAAATATATTGTTATTTTAAATGTGTTACGGTAATTGTGAACTATGATATTTTACTGATTGTATGTGTTTTTATGGTTGGAAACCGGGCTGAGTCCCTCAATGAGGTGAGAAGGTCGGTATAGAAAACTTTGAAATAAATAAATAAATAAGTAGGTTCTTGTGGGGGTTTTCGGGCTATAGGGCCATGTTCTAGAGGCATTTCTCCTGACGTTTCGCCTGCATCTATGGCAAGCATCCTCAGAGGTAGTGAGGTCTGTTGGAAATAGGACAATGGGTTTATATATCTGTGGAAAGACCAGGGTGGGGCAAAGAGCTCTTCTCTGCTAGAGCTAGGTGTGAATGTTTCAACTGACCACCTTCATTAGCATTTGAAGGCCTGCCTGAGCCTGGGAAAATCTTTTGTTGAGAGGTGTTAAGATGTGCCTGGTTGTTTCCTCTCTGCTGTTTTGCTGTTGTAATTTTTAGAGTTTTTTAATACTGGTAGCCAGATCGTGTTCATTTTCATGGTCTCTTCCTTTCTGTTGAAATTGTCCACATGCTTGTGGTGATTCCAGCCATGAAAGCCTTCGACAATACAAATAAGTAAGTCTCTCCTGTCACAGAAAAAAAAGCTACTGAATGATGTTCCGAGTTTGAGCCTGCCACTTTTGGACTCTTGCTTGCTGAGGTGTTCCTGCGAGTATCTCTGTAGATCTTAGAAAACCATTTCATGATGTCAGAAGCGACTGGCAGCCTGCAGGCTGTTTAGAAGATGGGGTGGTCTCCAGGTGGGAGGATTCTAGGGGGTTGTAGTTTCCTCAGAGAGGGCGCAACTTTATTTGTCGTGTCAGAGCAACCAGTCCATTATATTACATTTCTAACAGAGCAAAGCAAACAAACAGAAAAATACAAAACTTGTGAGTTTGGTAGTTGGTTAAATGTCCTTTGACCAGTATCTGGCCACTTGGAGTGCTTCTGGTGTTGCTGCAAGAAGATCCTCCATTGTGCATGTGGCTGGGCTCATGTTGCATTGCAGCAGGTGGTCAGTGGTTTGCTCTTCTCCACACTCGCATGTCGAGGATTCCACTTTGTGGCCCCATTTCTGAAGGTTGGCTCTGCATCTCGTGGTGCCAGAGCGCAGTCTGTTCAGCGCCTTCCAAGTCACCCAGTCTTCTGTGTGCCCAGGGGGAGTCTCTCATTTGGTATCAGCCATTGGTTGAGGTGCTGGGTTTGAGCCTGGCACTTTTGGACTCTCGCTTGCTGAGGTGTTCTAGCAAGTGTCTCTGTAGATCTTAGAAAACTATGTCTAGATTTAAGTCGTTGACGTGCTGGCTGATACCCAAACAGGGGATGAGCTGGAGATGTCTCTGCCTTGGTCCTTTCACTATTGGCTGCCACTTCCCGGCGGATGTCAGGTGGAGCAATACTGGCTAAGCAGTGTAATTTCTCCAGTGGTGTAGAGCGCAGACACCCCGTGATAATGCGGCATGTCTCATTAATAGCTACATCCACTGTTTTAGCGTGATGAGATGTGTTCCACACTGGGCATGCATACTCAGCAGCAGAGTAGCACAGCGCAAGGGCAGATGTCTTCACTGTGTCTGGTTGTGATCCCCAGGTTGTGCCAGTCAGCTTTCGTATGATATTGTTTCTAGCACCCACTTTTTGCTTGATGTTCAGGCAGTGCTTCTTGTAGGTCAGAGCACGGTCCAGGGTAACTCCCAGGTATTTGGGTGTGTTGCAGTGCTCCAGTGGGATTCCTTCCCAGGTAATCCTCAGAGCTCGGGATGCTTGTCTGTTCTTAAGGTGATTGTTTACTGATTGTGTTTTTATGGTTGGAAACCGGGCTGAGTCCCTCAGTGAGGTGAGAAGGTCGGTATAGAAAACTTTGAAATAAATAAATAAATCTCTCCTGTCACAGAAAAAAATGCTACTGAATGATGTTCCGAGTTTGAGCCTGCTACTTTTGGACTCTTGCTTGCTGAGGTGTTCCTGCGAGTATCTCTGTAGGTCTTAGAAAACCATGTCATGATGCCTGAAGCGACTGGCAGCCTGCAGGCTGTTTAGAAGAGGGAATGGTCTCCAGGTGGGAGGATTCCTCAGAGAGGGCGCAACTACACTTCCCGACATGCTACTTGGAAGTGTTAGCCACGCCCCCTCGTTTCCCTCCGGTGCTGCTTTTGTTTACGCCCGCAGCTCGTGCACATGGGCTGGGGGCGCGCTGATTGGCCAGGCGGGCCTGTTGGGCGGCCAATGGGGGCGCGGCGCACGCGGCTGCGGCGGCGGGCCAGGCGCGCGGCGCGTGTGCGGAAGAGGGATGCCCGGGCCTGGGCGCAGAGCAGGATGGAGGTGGCGGCGGTGGCGGCGGGAGTGGTCCTCCAGGTGGGGCTGCCTCCCCGCGAGGGGGGCTACTGCGGCGGGGAAGCCGTGTCCGGCTGGGTGGGCCTGCAGCTGGCCGCGCCCTCGCCCCTCCGAGCCCTCCGCCTCCGCGCCGCCGGGCAAGCCTCCGCCGCCTGGAAGGAAGCAGCAGGGGGAGGAGGAGGAGGGGGAGAGCCCTCGGCCCCGCACCCCGGGACCCGGCTCCAAGCCCACGCCGTGTACCTCGACCTCCGGCAGACCCTGCTCGGGAAGGAAGAGGCCCGCAGCCAGGAAGGTGAGCCGGGGAAGGGAGGAGAAAGAGGGGGAGGGAGGGAGGAAAGAAAGAAGGAAGGAAAGGAGGAAGGAAGAAAGGAAGGAAAGAAGGAAGGATGGATGGATGGAAGGAAAGAAGGAAGAAAAGGGGGAAAGAAGAAGGAAGGAGAGAAGGAAGGAAAGAAAGAAAGAAAGAAGGATGGATGGATGGAAGGAAGGGGAAAGAAGAAGGAAGGAGGGGAGGAACGGAAGACGAATGAAGGAGAGATGGGGAAGGAGAAAAAAAGTAGGAAGGAAACAAGGAAATATGAATGGAAAGAGGGAGAGGAAGAAGGGAGGGAGGGAAGGCGAATAAAGGAAGGATGGGGAAAGAAAAATTGTGAAGGGAGGGAAGGAAGGAAGGAAAAGAAAGGAAGACAGCAGGAATAGAAGATGAAGAAAGGAAGGAGGGAAGACGAATAAAGGAAAAATGCTTTGGGAAGGAGGAAAAAAGTGGGAAGGAAAGAAAAGGGAAGAGGGAGTGAAAGAAGGATGAATGGAAAGGGGAAGAGGAGAGAGAGAGAGAAAAGGAAAGAGAGGGAGGAAAAGAAGATGAATAAAGGAAAGATGGAGAAGACGGGAAGGAAGGAAAGGGGGAAAGAAGAAGGAAGGAGGGGAGGGGAAGGAGAAGAAAGTGGGAAGGAAGGAAAGAGGGAAATATGAATGGAAAAAGGAAGGGGGAGAGGAAGAAGAGAGGGAAAGAAGGCAAATAAAGGAAGGATGGGGAAGGAAAAATTGTGAAGGAAGGGAAGAGGGAGGGAAGGAAGAAAAAGGAAGGAAGACAGCAGGGATAGAAGATGAAGGAGGGAGGGAAGACAAATAAAGGAAAGATGGGGAAGGAGGAAAAAAGTGGGAAGGAAAGAAAAGGGAAGAGGGAGTGAAAGAAGGATGAATGGAAAGAGGAAGAGGAAGGAGAGAGAGAGAAAAGGAAAGAGAGGGAGGAAAAGAAGACAAATAAAGGAAAGATGGAGAAGAGGGGAAAAGTGGGAAGGAAGAGAGGGAAGAAGAAGGAAGAGAGGAAGGGAAAGAATGAGGGAGGGAAGAAAGACGAATAAAGGAAAGATGGAAAAGGGAAAAAAAGAAGGTGGGAAGGAAGGAGGAGGCCCCAAGGGAAGGAAGGAGGGGGGGAAGGAAGATAGCAGGAATAGAAGATGAAGGGAGGGGGGAAGGGAAGGAAAGAAGGATGGAGGGAAGACAAAAAGGGAAGGAAAGAGGGAATGAAGGAAAGTTGAATGGAAAGGGGAAGAGGAAGGAGGGAGAGAAAAGGAAATAGAGGGAGGAAAAGAAGAAGAATAAAGGAAAGATGGACAAGGGGGGGGGGAGTGGGAAGGAAGGAAGGACGAGGCTCCAAGGAACAGAAGGAAGGAGGAGAGGAAGGGAAAAGAAAGAGGGAAGGAAGCCGAATAAAGGAAAGACGGAGAAGGAAAAAAGAAGGTGAGAAGGAAGAGGCCCCAAGGGAAGGAAGGAGGAGGGGAAGGGAAAAGAAAGAGGGAAGGAGGGAAAAGGGAGGAAGACAGCAGAAAGAGAAGATGAAGGGAGGAGGGAAGGAAAGAAGGAGGGAGGGAAGACTAATAAAGGAAGAGGGAAGTGAAGGAAAGGGAATGAAGGAAGGATGAATGGAAAGGGAAAGAGAAAGGAGGGAGAGAAAGGAAGGAAGGAAGGACGAGGCTCCAAGGAACAGAAGGAAGGAGGAGAGGAAGGGAAAAGAAAGAGGGAAGGAAGCCGAATAAAGGAAAGACGGAGAAGGAAAAAAGAAGGTGAGAAGGAAGAGGCCCCAAGGGAAGGAAGGAGGAGGGGAAGGGAAAAGAAAGAGGGAAGGAGGGAAAAGGGAGGAAGACAGCAGAAAGAGAAGATGAAGGGAGGAGGGAGAAAGGAAAAAGAAAGAGGGAGAAGAAAGAGGGAGGGAAGGATGAGAAAGGGTGGATGGAAAGCAAAGGAAGAATAGAGGGGAAGGGAGGGAAGCAAAGGCATGAGGGTGGGAAAGAAAGAAGGAAAAGGAAAGAAAAGGGAGAAGGATGGATGGAGAAGAGAGGGAAGGAAGGCAAGAAGGGGAAATGAAGCTGAAGAATGGGAAAAGATGGTTAGAAAGAAAGGGAGTGACGACAAAAGGAAAAAGGAACAGAAAGGGAAAAGAGGAAAGGAAAGCAAGGGCAGGAAGGAAACAAAGATGGGGAAGGAAAAGGAGAGGAAGAAAGAAGTGTGGATTCAACTGGGAAAGGAAAGGGGAGGAGGGGAAATAAAAGGAAGGGAACTGAATGGCCAAATCATGTTTTGCTTTTATTTATTGTTTGCAGGGGGGTATATTTTCAAGATATGGATGGTTGAATCTGTGAATGTGGAATCTGTGAATAAGGAGGGATGACTAATTAATTTCCCACATGTCAGCAATGCATACGTCAGTAACCAACGCATTACATAAGAGGAAATAATACAGAGAGATGCATTGCTGTCATCGTTCATATTCTAAGGATTGCTGTTGTTCACTCTCTTATTTTGTCATTCCAGTGGGATTAAAGCAGTTTGAAAGCAGAGTCCCCTTCAAAACACAATAGAGTGTGTATATACTAAACAACCAGCCAACTCCTCAACCAGTTAAAGGATGCATTAAAGCAGCAGATACTTATTGGGGGCAAGGAGCAGAGAATCATGGGAAACATTGAGAGAAAGATACAGGCTTTAGGAGGATGCCAAGTATCTTAGCAAGGATTTGTATAGTGGAGGTGGGGGAAATGTATATGTTTTTGGTTTATTTAGGCAACAGTATATTCTCTTTTGTAAAAGTATCCTATGGAACAGTGTAAAAATAATCACAAGGGTGGGTTGTAGGTTTTTTCGGGCTATATGGCCATGGTCTAGAGGCATTCTCTCCTGACATTTCACCTGCATCTATGGCAAGCATCCTCAGAGGTAGTGAGGTCTGTTGGAACTAGGAAAAAGGGTTTATAATATATATAAATATAATAAAATTACAACAGCACAACAACAGAGAGGAAACAAACAAGGACATCTAATCACCTCTCAACAAAAGTTTGCTCTAGGCACTGTCAGGCCATTATATGCTAATCAAGGTGATCAGTTGAAACATTCACACCTAGCTCCAGCAGACAAGAGTCCTTTGTCTCACCCTGGTCATTCCACAGATATATAAACCCTTTTTCCTAGTTCCAACAGACCTCACTACCTCTGAGGATGCTTGCCATAGATGCAGGCGAAACGTCAGGAGAGAATGCCTCTAGAACATGGCCATATAGCCCCGAAAAAACCTACAACAACCCAGTGATTCCGGCCATGAAAGCCTTCGACAATACAATCACAAGGGTGTCAACACGTCTTGTTGACACAGCAGTAACAGCGAAACTATGTCAGCCAAAAATCATTCTCTAAGGTTGTTTTGAAATAGGTGTGTCATGAACAACATGTGCTCACAGTTTCTTGATGGCTCAGGAGAGATGTCTCCTGGAATTAAGGCAGGCATGGGCCAACTTTGGCCCTCCCTCCAGGTGTTTTGGACTTCAACTCCCACAATTCCTAACAGCCGGGTTCATGCCTGGATTAAGGAAACAGGCCAAGTTCAAGTGGGAGGGTCATTTTGGGGGAAAGGGTGACCTTTGAGATCATAACCTTTTGGAAAAGCAGAACCTCCAAAACCTTTTGGAGATCAATTGGCATTCACTACCATTTTGAAGAATCATAACCTTTTTGTAAAGTATGATCTTTCTGATAAGTTTTTAAAACTCTCTTGAGTCAATCTTCTCCTTAGTGGTAAATATCCACTAGTATTCATGCAACACAATTAAGTTTCTCAGTTGTTAGACTGATATACCTGATTATTTCCCTGAACTGTTAGGAACAAAGATTATGCCAGTGCACAAAAATATATAGCAAATCATCAGAAGTGTTATTTCAATAGCCCAAAGGTATATCTACTCTCCCATAAAATATATTTGGTTTTAAATTATGATCTCAAGAGACAAAAATAAGTCTTCTTCGTTAAAAATAACATAGTTGGTTTACTCACAAACTTCCATGTATTCAGTATACAGATACATTAGGTTCTTGTGGGTTTTTTCGGGCTATATGGCCATGTTCTAGAGGCATTTTCTCCTGACGTTTCGCCTGCATCTATGGCAAGCATCCTCAGAGGTAGTGAGGTCTGTTGGAACTAGGAAAATGGGTTTGTATATCTTTGGGATGACTGGGATGGAATCACAAGAACCTAGTGATTCCAGCCATGCAAGCCTTCGACAATACAGATACATTGCTTATCAGTTGAAAGTGTAAACAGTTCTCTAAGGCATTTTGTTTCAGTCTCTTCTCTGTCTTAATATAATCATCATCATCATCTTCATCTTTATTTATAACCCTCCCTCTCTTCCAGCAGATACTCAGGGCAGTTTACAGAAATGACAAAAATGGCAAACATTCAATGCCAATAAGTAAATAACTAAACAAACAGCAATAAAAAAAACATGAAACCAAATGAACTCAATATAGCTTATAAACAAACTGAAGTCAAGGATTAGACTAAGGAAACATAATGAGTACAGGGAGTCTTGTGTCTAATGCACTGACTATGTAATACACTACTGACTTTTGGAAATTAATTTGTATCCACACTATTTAGAATAATCAAAAACTTTTTGTATAGTGTGATCTTCCTGAGAAGAGCTAAAAACTCATTTGAGTGAGTCTTCCCTTTAGTGGTGAATATCCACTAGTATTTATGCAAGGCAAATTAGGTTTCTCAGATGTTAGACTGATACACCTGGTTATCTCTCTGAACTGTTAGGAACAAAAATTATGCACAAAATATATAGCAGATCTTCAGAAGTGTTATTTCAGTTGCCCAAAAACATCTACTCTCCCATAAAATATATTGCTTTTAAATCATACTCTCAAGAGACAATATGAAGTAGTCTTTGTTAAAAGTAACATAATTGGTTTACTCACAAACTTCATATATTCAATGTATAGATACACTGCTTATCAGTTGAATGCTTAAACAGAAGGTTCTCTAAGGCATTATGTTGCAGTCTCTTTTCAGTCTTATGTCTAGTGCATAACGAACACTGACTATACAATACAATACTGACTTAACACTGACTTCTCAAATTGAGTCTCAGTCTGAATTGTCCCAGATCTGATCACATGATCTGAAGTCCCTCCCACAACCTCAGACAACATAGAGTTAAGGGAAAACTGCATACCAGTACACACATATACCATATACAGCAGCAAGCAATCTGAATTATTTACATAACAAATAACTGATATAGGAGCCTTCTATAAAGGTAAAGGTTTCCCTTGACATTAAGTCTAGTCGTGCCCGACTCTGGGAATCTGGTGCTCAGATTTCTAACACAAAGAGACAGTGTTGTCCATCGACACCTCCAAGGCCATGTGGACACTGGCATGACTGCATAGAGCGCTGTTACCTTCCTTCTGGAGTGGTACCCGTCGATCTACTGACATTTGCATGTTTTCAAATTAAGTTAAGGAAATGTTTCCAAGGTTCCTTACATTAAGAAAGAAGTTAACACAAGGCTCCTTATGTTTAGGGTAAATATTTTCCCCTGACATTGAGTCCAGTCGTGTCCAACTCCAGGACTCTGGTGTTCATCTCTATTCCTAAGCCAAAGAGCCAGCGTTGTCCGTAGACACCTCCAAGGTCATGTGGCCGGCATGACTGCATGGAGCACTGTTACCTTCCCATCAGAGTGGCACCTATTGATCTACTGCGTGACTACATTTCTGTGTACGAACCCACACGATCTCTTCGATCATCTGGAGAGGCCCTGCTTGCGCTCCCACCTGTATCGCAGGCACGATTGGTGGGGACGAGGGAGAGGGCCTTCTCGGTGGTGGCTCCTCGACTCTGGAACTCGCTTTCCAGGGACATCAGACATGCCCCAACTCTGACAGTCTTTAGGAGGAGCCTGAAAACGTGGTTGTTCCAGTGTGCCTTCCCAGAATAAGGAAATACCCTCAGCAATATGTCCCTAAATGCACTTTATCACTGATTTAGGATTGTCTGTGTGCCCCATCTCTACCTGAAAACTCTATCCCAGTTATAGCCTACCTTGTCCATGTCCAGCATTATTTTTTTTAATTTTAAATTATTGCATTTGGCCCAGCCATAGGTTTTAAATGCTTGTTGCTATTGTTACTGTTTATTGTTTACTTTTGTTTATGAGTTTTATTTTAACTGTTAAGTTGATTGCTTTCGTATTGCTTTTACTGTTGATGTACTTTGAGCTCGGCCTCATGTAAGCCGCACCGAGTCCCTTGGGGAGATGGTAGCGGGATATAAATAAAGTATTATTATTATTATTATTACTGACATTTACGTGTTTTCAAACTGCTAGGTTGGCAGAAGCTGGGGCTAATAGCGGGCACTCAAGTTGCTCCCAGGATTCAAACCACCGAACTTGTGGTCAGCAAGTTCAGCAGCTCAACAGTTTAACTTGCTGCGCCACTGGGTACTTCAGGAGGCTTGTAGAAGCTTGGTTAAGACACTTGCCCTGTTGGAAATAGCAACCCTCTCCAGGAGGCTTGTAGAAGGTTACTATTTCCAACAGGGCAAGTTTCTTAAGCAAGTGACTGGAACTAAGAGCGATGTGACTTCACACCTGGAGGAACTGTCTTATACTGACTCATCCCATTGACTCTTCAAACCCAGCACCAACGCTGATGATTAGCGGGTGCTCTCCAACCAGGAATGTTTCCTGCCCTGCCTTCAAGGCCCTGGGAATTGAATTTACATTTCCCAGCAGATCAGGGAGGAACACCTTGCAACATGGGTTTTCCCGCAGACAGGTAGAAAAACCTTCTGGGATCCCTGCATGGGGAAACTTGTTGGAAGTCAGCCCCATCCTGCTCAAGTTTATACTCCTCATGAAGGAAATTGGTAGGCAGATGAGTGAGCTGGCAGGAAAATTCCTTTCACCAGTTGCCCTCTTTGTCTCTTTCTATTCTCTCCTCCGTATCTTCTGTTTGTTAGACTGATACTTCTCAGGGACACGTCTCTTTTTTTATCCAAAGTTTCTCACCAGGCCCGAGTGCCTTCTGTTTTGTTTGCATGGAGAGACAATATGTCTCTAGAGCAGGACTTCTCAAACTTTTCCAGCCCATTTTTGAAGGAAAGGTTTCTCGTGGAGCTCCCAAAAATGTTTATATATTTAATGTGTATATATCAGGCTATATATATAATGTATATGTATAGTTTGTGTGAACTAACTGAAAAAAACATGCCATTTCCAGTTCACCTGACCTCCCGTCCTTTGGAAACTACAATTCCCACAGAGTTCAAACTACCGTATATACTCAAGTATAAGCCGAACCGAATATAAGCCGAGGCACCTAATTTTACCACAAAAAACTGAGAAAACGGATTGACTCGAGTATAAGCCGAGGTTGGGAAATGCACCAACTACTGGTAAATTGAAAAATAAAAATAGATACCAATTAAATTACATTAATTGAGGAATCAGTAGGTTATATAATTTTTAAATATTTACAAAAATATGTCCAACTCTGATTAAATGATTACCTTCTTCAATGTAAATGTGCTTACTTATCCTTCCAATAATAATAAAGAGAGTAACATAATAAATGTAATAACAACAACAATAATAAAAAGAGTAAAATAATGAATGTAGCAATAACAATTATACAGTAAAATAATCTATATGAATAAAAATGTAATGTTTGTTTGTGGGATTAACAGAACTCAAAAACTACTGGACGAATAGGCACCAAATTTGGACACAAGACACCTAACAACCCAATGTATGTCCTTCACTCAAAAAAATTGATTTTGTCATTTGGGAGTTGTAGTTGCTGGGATTTATAGTTTACCTACAATCAAAGAGCATTCTGAACTCCACCAATTATGTCATTGAACCAAATGTGGTACATAGGACTCCCATGACCAACAGAAAATACTGGAAGGATTTGGTGGGCAGTGTCCTTTATTTTTGGAGTTGTAGTTCACCTAAATCCAGAGATCACTGTGGATTCAAACAATGATGGATCTGGACCAAACTACACGAATACTCAATATGCCCAAATGTGAACACTATTGGAGTTTGGGGAAAATAGAATCTTGACATTTAGGAGTTGTACTTGCTGGGATTTATAGTTCACCTACAATCACAGAGCATTCTGAACCCTACCAATGATAGAATTGGGTCAAACCTCCCACACAGAACCCCAATGAGGGCCGCAGCAACGCGTGGCAGGGGACGGCTAGTGTACAATAATAGAGTAAAATGATAAATATAATAATAATAAATAGAATAAAATAATAAATGAAATGAAAATAATAATAGAGTAAAATAATAAATAACCTTGACTCGAGTATAAGCCAAGGGGGACTTTTTCAACCTAAAAAAAGGGCTGAAAAACTAGGCTTATACTCGAGTATATACAGTATGTCTTTATTAAATTAGGGCTGGGTTTGGGGGTCTCCAAAAACATTAGAAGGCAGGAGGAGAAAAGGGAGACGAAATTCCAGATGGAAGGACCAAATTAAAGAAGTTCACTAGAAAAGACAAAAATGCTTCGGCCCTCCAGGTGTTTTGGACTCCAACTCCCATAATTCCCAACAGCCTCAGTCCCCTTCCTTTTCCCTCTCACCTGCTTAAGTGGAAAAGAAAAGTTGCTGCATCTACTCCACTCTCTTTTCCCCTCTGCTTTATTCTGAAATCCGCTTTTCTTCCTTCCTCACTGAACAATACTGCATCCAACCAAAGCCACCCTTATGTGCTAGGTCTTCACCTTAAGTGGAATAACTCAGGAACCCTCTTCAAAAAGGCACACAATACATAGCTTTTCATTTCACAGTTTCTTTTTAAAGTTGCTGTGATGCTTGAATTCTTAAAGCACACATTTTCTTTTCTTTTTTCCATAGGTGATGAGGGCTTAATCCTATTAGGAGCTGGGAAACACGAATTCCCTTTCAGCTTTCAACTCCCGCAGCAGTAAGTGATGCAGCGTACCTACAACGTTTTATTTGCAGTGTTCTTGAAGAATATCTGGGAAGAATTTTGCAGCAGTTGGGAAAGCCTATTGTAAATTGCTTATATCTATGCAAAGCTTTACCTGTTAAACTTCTAAACCAAGCATGGGCAAACTTGGGCCCTCCAGGTGTTTTGGACTTCAACTCCCACAATTCCTAACAGCCTACCAGTCAAAACACCAGGAGGACCTGTTTGCCCATGACTATTCTAAACCATGTTCGGAGATTTTCCTTTTTCACAGAAAGCCTTCAATGTGATGGTATCAATCCAGCCAACAAACCTCCTTTGGTTGTGTATGCTCTTCAGTGGATGCTTTCCCAATCTGGGCTGTCTAGCCATGCTCCAGAAGCATTCTCTCCTGACGTTTCACCCAGGTCTATGGCAGGCATCCTCAGAGGATGTGAGATCTGTTGGAAACTAGGCAAATGGGGTTTATATATATCCCTGTGAAATGATGTCCAGGGTGGGAGTAGAATTACTTTTCAATTTTTTTATATTTATATGTATTCACATTCTTTTTAATTAACTTTTTATTATTAGCCTCCTTGAGTCTCTACATCAAGGGAAAGAAGGGGGAAGTAAGCAAATAAATAAAACAACAAGACCTAAAATAATCATAGTAATAATAATAATATGGGTTGCTGTGAGTTTTCCAGGCTGTCTGGCCATGTTTGAGAAGCATTCTCTCCTGACGTTTCATCCACATCTAGGGCAGGCATCCTCAGAGATTGTGAGGTCTGTTGTAAACAAGGCATGTTGGGTTTATATACATATCTGTGGAATGATGGGTGGAAGAAAAACTCTTGTCTGCTTGAGGCAAGTGTGAATGTTGCAATTGACCACCTTGATAAGCATTGAATGGTATTGCAGCTTCAAAGCCTGACTGATTCCTGTTTGGGGGATCCTTTGTTGGGAGGTGTTAGCTGGCTCTGATTGATTCCTGTCTGGAACTCCCTTGTTGTCTGAATGTTCCTCTTTATGTATTCCCTGGAAACAAAATCTGGCTGTCAGTATTTTAAAACTCTAAAACCAGGACAGCAAATAAAGAGCAACACTCAAAAAATGAGAACTCCAGACAGCAAACAACAAAGGATCCCCCAGGCAGGGCGCAGCCAGGCTTTGAAGCTGCAAGGCCATTAAATGCTAATCAAGCTGGTGAATTGCAATATCCACACTTGCCTCCAACAGACAAGAGCTCTTTTTCCCGCCCTGGACATCATTCCACAGATATGTATATAAACCCAACTTGCCTTGTGTGGATGTCACCTCACTACCTCTGAGGATGCTTGCCATAGATGCAGGCAAAACGTCAGGAGAGAATGCCTCTAGAACATGGCCATATAGCCCGAAAAAACCTACAACAACCCAACTTGCCTTGTTTTCAACAGACCTCACAATCTCTGAGGATGCCTGCCCTAGATGTAGGTGAAACGTCAGGAGAGAATGCTTCTTGAACATGGCCAGACAGCCCAGAAAATTGTTGTATATTTATTTGCTTACTTCCCCCCTTCTTTCCCTTGATATAGGGACTCAAGGAGGCTAATAATAAAAAAATGAAATTAAAACAATGTGAATACATATAAATATAAAAAATTAAAAAGTAATTCTACTATGTTAATTAAACCATTAAAAATTGTAATATTTAAATGCATAAATTAACCCACCTTGACATCAATCGCACAGTCTTAAAAAGCCTTCCCTTCATCAGTTTATAAATGCCTGATGGCAGAAGAGTGGTTTCCCTACCTTCAAAAGGTCAGTGTTGTTGTTGTTGTTGTTGTTGTTGTTATATGTTTTTTATTTCTTACTCTACTTTCTGGTACTAATGTGAATGGGTTGAAGATCCCATGACATCATGCCAACCTTTGCCACTTTCTTTATCTCGCCTTCAGACCGTTGGCGACCTCTTTCACAGGGAAGTATGGCAGCATCCAATATTTTGTCGAAGCGATCTTAGAGAGGCCAATGGCACCCACTCAGTCCGTCAAGAGGGAATTCCAGGTTATTAGCCACATTGATGTGAATTCACCACTTTTACTGGTAAGAGCCGTACTCTCCATGGAGTCATTTGCATGTTCTCAGCATGTGGCCATTCTCTATCAGCTGTAACTTGGCTTTGCATTACTCTGATCAGTCTTTTTACTGTTGTCCCAATTCTTATGAGCTCACTTGCTAAGCTTTCTTTATAAATATATAGTTCCAGATAGCATAAATTGCAGATAGTTTGTATGTTAGGAGGGGAGGGAGATGTTGTGCCATTGATTCCAAACCTGCTGGCACAGCTGCTGTGGCAGAAATTGGAGGAGGATTGACAGCCATTAAGACTTAATAGTAGTGCAGCGGGGAGAAAAATATTTACTTTATCACAGTACAGGGTACATTTACAGGACCACAGGGCCCTCAGCCTCTCCAGTAATCGTAAGCTATGAAACAGTAATTGTAGTACACTATCACTTCTCCTGCTCGATTTAAGCTCTGGCCATTTTATTACATAATTCAATAAATCAGAAATAAATAAACGAAATGTGTTCTTATGTTGTGTTCTCTGAGGCTTTCATGGCCAGAATCATTGGGTTGCTGTGAGTTTTCCGGGCTGTCTGGCCATGTTTCAGAAGCATTCTCTCCTAACATTTCGCCCACATCTATGGCAGGCATCCTCAGAGGTTGAGACGTCTGTCGGAAACTAGGTAAGTGGGATTTATATGAATCCACATGGAATTATGTCCAGGGTGTAAGAAAGAACCATCTTCTGTGGGATGCAAGTGTGGATGTTAAAATTGGCCAACTTGATTAGCATTGAATGGCCCTACAGCTTCAAAGCCTGTCTGCTACCTCCCTGAAGAAATCCGTTGTAATATTTTATTTATTTAAAACATTTATATTTCGCCCTTCTCACCCCGAAGGAGACTCAGGGCACAGCATATATACGGCAAACATTCAATGCCGGAACATGAATTCATTCTATGTATACATAAACATTTAAAACATTTGTCTAAATATTAAAATACACTGTTGGGAGGTGTTAGCTGGCCCTGATCATTTTCTGTCTGGAAATCCCCTGTTTTCTGAGTGTTGTTCTTTATTTACTGGATTTCCCCCAGGCGGGAAGCTGCAAGACCATTAAATGCTAATCAAGCTGGCCAATTGTAATATTCACACTTGCCTCAAGCAGGCAAGAGTTCTTTCTCCCACCCTGGACATTCCATAGATTTTGCCCCACTTGCCCAATTACCAACAGACCTCACAACCTCTGAGGAAGTCTGCCATAGATGTGGGCAAAACGTCAGGAGAGATTGCTTCTGTATGGAACATGGCCATACAGCCCGGAAAACGCACAGCAACCCTTTGCTTACATGGTGTCCGTTCCAGAATTAAGTGCACAGTTGCACCTGCCTCTTGTGCTTTTCCGTATCATTTACTTACGAGGGATGTGGCTACATGGAATATTTATTTTATTTATTTATTTACTACTCTTATATACCGCCGTTTCTCAGCCTACAATGGCGACTCAACGCGGTTTACAGCATTAAAATGAACAGCAATATACAATCTAAAAGCATAAAAAAACATACACAATAAAACAGTATTGGGCCACCAATACAATCGGTGCATCTCTTAACTAAAAACATAATCCAAACTCATCGTCCGTGATTGCCGATCCTTGGTCATTAGCTTCGTTGCATCAAGTTAACCAAATGCTTGCTGAAACATCCACGTTTTTAGTTTTTTTCTAAATGCCATCAATGAAGAGGCAGATCTTATCTCTACGGGGAGGGCATTCCAAAGCCGGGGGGCTACCACAGAAAAGGCCCTATCTCTCGTTCCCGCGAGCCGCACTTGGGAAGCCGGTGGGATAGAGAGCAGGGACCCTCCAGAAGATCTTAGGGTCCTGGTGGGCTGATAGGCTGAGATACGTTCGGATAGATAAGTGGGGCCAGAACCGT